TGGCGTCACTTCCTGGAAACCGCGCGGCCGCTTCCGGGTGCGCCCGGTAACCAGGAAGTGGGGGAGGCCTAAGGGCCTGCAGGGGTCGGGGACCCCCCCCCGAGGGACCCTCCCCCCCCCAAAAAAAAGCCAGGAGCGGGGCTCAACGCCCCCCCGCAGCCACGGTTCTGCTTTACAGCGGGCTTCGTGCTCTGTAGCAGCCCCTCAGGCCTACACCATTGGCACCCACAGCCAGGGACGGGGGCTCCCCCTGCGTGGGGGTGCCAATGGTGTAGGGACAGTGGAACCCCCCCTCCCCACGACCCCGAGGAAAATCAGCACCCCCCCGGGACAGGAGGAACGGGAGGGAGGGCAGGGGGAGGAACAGCACTTACACCTGGAGAATCGGCTTAGAAAAATAACAATTGCTTTATTAGGAAGTTTAATTCAAACTCTACACGAGGAGGCTGAAGAAGAAATGGGTTTATTCCAGGTTTCCACCCCCACAACACGCTCGGGCAAAATACAGAGGGACGAGTCACTGAACGAGTGGAAGGAAGAGGGACGACGTTGCCTGCCACCGGGGTGCTGTGCCCAGCAGGCAGAGGAGAGCTGCCAGGCATCCGGACCCCCCCTCTCCTCTTCACATCCTTCTGTGTTCCTCCTGGAAGCCGTTTGCCTCCCCCTTGCATTGTGATCTTGAGCTGCATTTCCAAGGCCCACAGTTAGCAGAGGTTTCCTTCCAGCACAGTTTGTGGTGTTGGACAGCATGACGCTGGGGGGTTGCTCACAAAGCTCTTGCAGCTTATCCCTTCCAGCACGTGGCTCCTCCATTTTAGCTCTGTCACAGCACAGAGGCAAGGCAGAGCCGAGCACTGTGCTCACACAAGGAGCTGGCTTTCGTTATCCACAAGCAAACCCTGTTACGATGAGAGCCACGTTCCCAACAGCATCACCAAGTTACAGCTTTTACATAATGGCCCCATTTTTCCTCATAAACCCTCTCCTTCAAAGCCTCCTCTCATCTCTACCTCCTGCATTCTGCTTTCCATCACCTGACTTAGCTCAAAACTTAAGCTGAGGCCAGCCTTCCACATCTGTCAGCGTCCTCCCCAGGAGCAGTGCTCCGGGGACAGCGCGGTGCTTACACACCCACTACATTACAGACTAAGGAAGCTTCCAGCTTGAAAGCCCAGGCTGTCGGGAGCCTCTGCCCACAGAACAGGCACATCAGAGGGGACCCAGTTTGCATTTGCCGGTATGGCAGTGGAAAACATTGGCTAACAGTCTAGTTCAGACAGCCTACCTGCCCTCCGTACATGCTAAATTGTCATATGAGTACTCAAGCTTCAGTTCAACTAGTATTGTGCTGCAGTCTATGTTTCCTCGCCTCTACAAAGCCCTCGGCTCGTCTACCATCCCACCTTGCCTCATAGTCTAGACCACGTTTTGGAACAGATCCCTCCGAGAGGGAGGGCAGCTGCAGAGGCGTCAGGGCTGAGGCAGAGCCACCCACCCAGGCACCCACCGGGAGCAGCTCGAGTCAAGCTGCAGTGCAGGCACCGGCTCAGCATGACCTGTCACTGCGTCAGAGCTGATCAAGAGCCTGAGACTGCGCTCCTTGTAATCCGACGGTGAAGGGATTCACAAAACAGTCCAGTTCCAAAAGAGAGAGAAAGCAAAGGAAAAAAAAGAAAAGAAAAAAGAAAAAAAAAAAAAAAACAACAGACACTCGAGAGCAAAGCCATGCCCGGTGCTTTGGTTTCTAAAATGCTTCCTATTTTGGCACTTGGGGTAGAAGATAGACACAGAGGTTGTATGTGTTCCAGTGAATGCTTTTTGTTCTATGAAGAAAAATATTTGCATTGATTTGCTCCAAGCTCACATAAGTACCAGAGATTGTTGAAACACACGAACAGAGCCCAGTGTTCGCATCAGCTAACGCGGTCCTGGCACGTTTGTCAGATTAGGCAATGGATTTGCTCTTCCTGCTCGTGTCTCAAAGGCTGCTAAGCAGCGTATCACCGGGGACCAGCTCCCTTGGCAAAGCCCCACGGCAGGGACGGCGCTGACAGCCTCTGCAGGACACACGGCCCCGCAGTGCCACCGCACGGCCTCCCCTCCCGCCCGGCCGGGGGGCATCTCAGCCAGCCCGCTTTATTGCCTCTTCAAACCAAACTGCAGGAGGGCAAAAACCCAAGTGCTGGAGCACAGAACCCCTTTTTCCTCAGGCTGGATTTAAAAAAAAAAATCGATACGGTGCTCCTGCACCGCACAGCTCTCGGTGGGGCTGTCAGGCAGGCAGAAGGGCTCTCCAGCCCTCGCAGCGCACTGGCAGAAAACGGGTGAGCTGTAGCTGACAGCAGGGTCTTCCTGGTGACAACTGGAAGGCTGCTGTTGTTCTGCTATTGATCTAAGCAGAATACAAAACACCTGAAGTCAGCAGGGAAAAATAGCTGCAGTTGGAAAAGAAACCGGAGGTACGGGGGAGGGAGCAGGGGGGAGAGCAGGTAAGAAGTTTCCCATGCATAAAATTAACGGCCGGGCGTTTTATTGCAGCTATCTTGCCCGGCTACAATACTGGATTAAACGTAGGGAGCAGGAACGCTGCCATCATTGTTTTTGCAGCCTCTCATTTGATGAGAAACAAAAGGTTTCGCTCCCGTTCCTGCCAGCGACTTGCCACCAGCGGCTCCGCTCTCCTGTCAGCTCTACCTCCCCTCGGCCAAAAACGTCCTGGGGACGATGCCTGCGGCGCCCAGCGTGGCCTCATAGCCTGGAGGCACAGAGCCTCTCGGTGAGGAGACCCCAGGAAGGAGCAGCCCGGACCCCACACCAGTTTGGGTTTAGCCCAAGCAGCCAGCACCGCTGGCGGAGCTGAGGCTGGAAGGGATTTTGCTACCTCCCCTTTCTACCCCGGCTCATCTCTGAGGCTGAAAGAAGCAGGCACCCAGCCAGCTCCCGTTCGGTAAGCAGCTTCCTTGGGAACCTTTCCCTGTTGTGACAGCTCCAACATTACAGGGACTGCCAGGACCAAACCACTCGAGGAAGAGGTCCCCTCCCCCTTCTGACATTGACAACCGCGGCGGCGGCAGCAGCAGCACCGCGTGCGGGAGCCGACCGAGAGCGTCAGCGGGGCACGGGCTGATGGAGGACACCACGGCGTCCTTCCTCCGCCCCGGAGGTGATGCTGGGGCGGGTCGCTGTGCGTTTTTGTTGCTCCTCTCCCGTGGTCTGCGCCTGCTGCAGGCTGACAGCCTCTAATCGCTCAGCGTGAACCAGAAACGTCACTCTCATCTGTATTGATGATGGTGCTACTCACCAGCGCAAGAACATACGCAGGCTCAGCCACCCACCCCAAAAGCGTGCCCTGAAGCCATCTCGCCCCTCAGCTTTCACCTTCAGGTCTTTTCCGCCTCCCTGTCACTCGAAAGCTGCTTTTCCTTCTCTCTCCCTCTCCACCTGACGCAGCCACAGGGCAACTTTTATGTCGCTTAAAGGGAAAGCCAGCAGTTTCTCGGGGACACGGGGCACACGGTGGAAGAGCTCCAAGAGCCAAGCGCAGCACAATCCCCCAAAAAGGCCCACACCTTCCCTCCTCGCCAGCGCCGGAGGGGCTTCCCAGCAGCATCATCTCCTGCAGCAGCAAGGCCTGAACGAGCCACAAGGAGCACAGCACGCGGGAGGGCTTAATTCCTCGCTGCAGCAGCAGGCAGCTTCCTGACATCCTGCTCCCATTTTGCTGGGAGGTGGGAGCCATCTTGAGCCCTTTGCAGCCTCGCTCCTGGCACTGCCAACAGGCGCAGCAGAGCGAAGCGAGCTCATCCCTAGGGCTGCTGGTGCTCCTCTCCCCCCTTCCCAGGGCGGATTGCTCCTCTCCCCCCTCCTCAATCCAATTCTCTTGCTCAAGTTACAAATAAAGCTGATTTTCCAGGTCCTTCTAGGCCTTTCCACCCACGATTCAAGCACTCAGCTCCCCCTCGCCATGCTCCCTCTTTGTCCAACCATTCAGCCCAAGAGCTGACCTAATTAGCTGATTGCCAATTCCAGCTGTGGATGCACACTGCTTTGTTGGAGCAGAGCTGCCTTTTCAAGCAATAATTTATATCCGACAGGATCTGAAATGACGAGGCCTTCAAAAGGCCTTCAGCAGAAAGGTGTCTAACAGGAATTTCTCAGAGTTCAAACGGATTCTGAAAATAATGGACTGGTTTTCTAACCCAAGGCCCAGCACTGCACAGCTTGGAGGGCAGGGAAGCGTTTGGGAGGTTTTGCAGCAGGAGCCCAAAAGGAGAAAGTGAGTTTGTGACATCCTCTAGCAAGGGATCACCTCTGGGTCTGAACGTGCATGTCCAGTGCACCACGCTTGTGCGAGATTTCCAGGCAATACACACTCAGGAACAGTCAGGAGCTCACACAGGTAACTCAGGGAGGTGGCTCTGGGGCTGCCCCACAGCCTAAGCCACTGTGGTTTTGCTTCTCAGGGCAAGAGGCTATTTAAGAAAAGCTAAACGGACGGATGGGTTATTTTCCCTACTCTGCTTTTCGCCACCCTGTTCACCTCTAACCCTTGGATTAAGCAGGGACTCAGAGGTTTTGTCAATTTTATCCCGACATAACTCGACTCAGAGCAAGTAACTCCATCGTACGACCGTTAATCTGCCTGTAAGGTGTGAGCACCACCTCTCTTCCCCAGGCAGCCCTTCTCATCCTCACCCCGGCAGCGTGAGCTCGAAACCAAGCCAGAGGTGGGCTCTGCTCCCAAACGCAGCCAGATCCGAGTCCCCACACCTGGGTAACGAGCTAACGCTAGCACTAACCCTACAGCTCCAAACCCACACGCCGTGTCCCAGGCTCCCCAGCCCCCTTCCCACTCGATTTTACAGGGGCAGCACCGGTGAACAGCCAACATCCAGCCCAACCAGGCCACCCTCCACCCACCCACATCCACCTCCACCTCCACGGAGGAGGCAAGTGGAACAAAGCCACAATAATCCCCCAAACAAAACGACACCAAGAAGGAACTAGAACAAAGAATTGTTTAATTGCTTAACTCTTTCTCTTCCAGGGACCACAGAAACAAGTTTTCTGCTCCTTCTAACGAGGGCAGTAAGGCTTGTGTGTTACCTCTACAACTGCAGGGGCAAAGTTTACGAGATGATCATCTTTAGTACTCGAAAAGGCTAGAATTAATAATGGTCGGCGCAACACTACGAATCCTAGAGTCTCCTAACGGAGAGCCCGTTGCTAGAATACAAAAATAAAGGAGGCATCCCTGCATATCCCAGGCTAGAAAGAGTTAACCAGAAAGAGCAGGAAGAAGCTTTCCCGAAGAGGGGGTCGAAGTAAACGGCAGAGGTCAATAAAGCAACATCTTCTCCCTACTTCCCCAGCATGTTTTTTCCTTCACCAATAAATACAAATTCCTCATTAACAAGCGCCAAAGCAGGCAATCTGCCCGCAACGAGGGGAAAAGGGGCTAGAGGCAGAAAGATTTTTCTCTCCCCTTCTCTCCCATTATTATTTATCTTTTTAATCAAAGCAGCCATTAAAAAAAAAAAAGCAATCCTCTGCAGAGGCAGGGAATCTTGTAGCTTTCACACTGCAACTGGCAGGTAAAAGAGCTGCACTGTCTCACAAAGGTAAAAACAACAAAAAATAGCTGCCACAGCAAAAGGTGAACGGGTGGGGACAGGTCTGTTCTTTTCCAAGCTTTCCATCTCAGTCTCAGTTTAAAAATCAAAGTCTGCAGACGTTGTCTACTGAAAGCTGAAAAAAAAAGTTTGAGTGGGAGGAAGGGGGACGAGGATGCATCTAGTAGGAAAGCCTGAAGCGAAAAAGAAAAGGCCAGACCACGTCAGAAAGCCACCCGAGTGAGAATTTTCCTTTACCTCTGGGTTTTGAAGAGCACTGAGTGCCGGGGTGGCCTTGGGAGAGCTTGTGGACAACCAAACAGGTAAACTGAGCAAGCAGCCGCACCTCCTGCACTGGTACTGCGTGAAAACAAGCACCGTGCCCTCAGCACCCAGGATGCCAGCAGCCATCCATCCCGGCAGAGCTCTGGCCAGTCGTTTCTGGTGGCAAGGGGCACGCTCCCGCACGACCGGGGCTTGCTATGGCTCGGTTTCACCCACAGGTGACAGAGCAGCCGGACCTCGTTGTCTGAAGGGCAGAGATCAGATCCCAGTCAGCTCCACTGCGACTGCAAGGAGGGAGCTGGGGGGGCCTCTCTCTGCAGGGAGCAGCATCCTTTGAGAGACGCTGCCAGCCACGAGGCTCCGTGACCTCTCTCCCTCTCGCACAAGGCTCTCTCATCTCACAAAGACTGTTCTGGAAGGGAGAGGAAGCCGGTTACCTTGATCAGCCAGCACTGTGCAGTCTCTCTCATCAACGCCTGGCAGCCAGAAGCAGCCGGAGGAGGAAGGGAAGGCCTCTCATCCTTCCACAGCAGGAACAGGAAGACCGGGGATTGCACCACATGGAAGAACAGCCTGAATGCAGCACACACACACATGCGCACGCTCCCAGACACGCATCTCACCCCTGGGACCAAGGTTAGCATGTTCAGACCTTCAGCAGTAAGAGACACGAGACAGCGCAGAGCAGTTAAGATCTCCAGGGGCTCTTTGGTCTTAGTTGATAGTCCTAGAAAAAAACAACCTCTTCAGATCGGGTTGTAGCACAGCTGTGTAAGATCTAGTCGATATTTAGTGTTTGGCAACTGCAAGAGGGGGGAAAACAGGGCTGCATGTTACACGAGAGGGGAAGGAATGGAAGTACAGTGCTGCATTGCTAGGCGTAGTCCTGGCTGTGCAGCCAGAGCCAGTGCGTGGAGAATGGGAGGAGGAAGGAGGGTTCCTGAGAGGACCACTAATCCATCAGCTGTTACTCCACCAAGGTGGGAAGGGCTCGCCTCGGCCAAGACAGAGCAGCTGGCTGCATAAAAAGCTGCTGTCTAAAAGCTCAAAACGTGAGTTGCAACAAAGACATGATGGCAACGATCTCAGCTCTAGCACAGGTGACACTGGAGAGAAGGTGAGTACAGCTACACACGTTTTGGGCAATAGAGAGAGAAGCCCTGGGACAGTGCTGTTACCAGCCCCTTTCCTCAGCAGCTTTAGCTACACAAGTCCTAGGCCTCCGATAAAACCTGCTCCCATTGCTGCCACCTTTCTCCCCAGGTTCACAGACCATAGAAGAAAGCATCAGAGCTGGGCAAGCACATCCTGCCCTGCTGAGCTGCACATACTCAGTGCCTTCGCTGATTCATCAACTAAGACAGATGCCCAGGGAAAAAGACAGGCGATATCCAGTCCTTAATACAACACAGCCACATCTGATGGCAATATGTTAGAGATGGAAGCCAGAAGAAAGAAATTATGGGACAAAACAGGTATTTCATGGCCAACAACCCAAAGCCAGGGGCCTCTAGACAGTCTGGTAGCGTTAAGAGCAGAATCAGGCTTTCAAGACCAAGATCACTGCAGTAAATTCATTCCATAAGCCCTGCCCTAGGTTTGTATTTTATTCAGGAATTTAACATCCCCTCTACAAATGCATGAATGCAGGCAACATTGCTCTGTACCAGGTCATACAGCAGCTCTGGAAAAAGTCACCGGCTTACACCGCTTACAGACAACTCAAAGATCCCTGTCGGGACTAAATTCCACTAAAGGCAAACCCCAGACTGCACTGCCATGCTGCTCAGTAGCGTGACGGGAGAAGGAGGAGGTGGTGGTGATGGTTTAAAGAAACGGCCGCTCCTGCCCCTGCCAGCTTGTCCTACTCTGTGCATAGTGCGATACAGTGCAGTCATTCATCAGAGAAAGTTCAGGACCAAGGAAACTAGGTTCCCTTTCAGCCAAACAATTGGAGGAAGGAGAGGCAGTTCTGTTTTAGCTGGGCCGGCACTGGACTTGCCCCTCTGAGCTGTCTTCGTCGTCTGAGCCTCCAGCCCCACCACTGGTCAGTCCTGTAATCCGGTACCCCATGTTGAGCAACATCACCTCCAGCGGGTCCGCATTCATTCGTCTCTGGTTCGCTTGGGAAGCACCTTCCATGTCCACTACCACGCGGCCATTGAGGGTTTCGCTCTGCAAGACAAGAAGGGAGAGAACTCAGCAAGACAGGGCGAGGAACAAAGAGCTGCTGCAACCATCAAGAGATCCCAGGAGGAAAAAGGTCTGCGTTACTCGTCGAGTCACCAAGACAGGTCGTTTACTTGTGGCTCTTACCTCTGGCCTGGGATTCCACAGCCGTACAACTGGGTCAATGCCACTGGTGGCCAGGAAGCAGTAACTGGGATGAGGCTGGAGACAATTCACAATCGACTCGTCTCCCTGCAGCACTCTAACAAGGTTGGTGGTTTCTTTCTCCCAGATGAAGAAGGAGCCGTCATCCGACCCACTGACTATGTACTGTGCATTGCTAGGGTGAAAGGAGCAGAGACTGGAGATCACAGCTCAGAGCCAAAGCTCTAGCAGACACGAGAACCTCAGATGGCTTCTATCATCAGTAGGCTGCCCCTCCTTATGCTTACAGATCAAGATAAAGCTTTCTGTGTTAGTTCCCTCCATCCCCAGAATTTGTTTTCAATCCCAAATGGCTTTTTGGAAATGCGCCAGCCCCACTGGGTCCTCTGTGGATCTGCTACTGAACCTGTTGTTCACGCAGCCACACAAGGACGAGGGTTTCCATCATCCCTTCTCAACCCTGCAAACCAGCACCAGCATCACTTCATGAACGCTCACACGAGCCTACACGTGAGGCTTTATCCGATGGATGGGAACATTCTGTTGCTGCTCACACTCCTGTCCAGCACCCCTGTTATGCTCTGCCAACATACCTGCCAAAGAAATTGGCCTCTTTGATGTCTGTAGTAGTGTTACAGTGGCCACAATATCGGAATTTGTAGTCGTAGCTGCGCTCCCTCAGCACCATCTCATCCTCTGAGATGGAATCCTTGCGGCCTGTGGCTCGCAGCCGGATGGGGCCACCTCCTTTCTTGTCTTCAGCTGGAAGAACAACACATTTCCCTCATCACAACTCGGGGAGGAACACGTTCTACACAAACAAGGCACTCTAGAACAGCATCAGTTTCAGAGAACAATTTCATCAGGGAGCAGGGCTCAGGGCACAAGCTCCTTTCCATATTATCTCCTGGATGCATTGCACTATCTTATACCACACTCTCACTCGACACCAAACCAGGACCAGACACAAGGAAAGAACTGGGCTGAGGCCAGTTTTTGTGCACAGTAATAATCAATCTCCCTCAGAAGCTGGAGCTTTTTTCCTAGGAGCAGTTTAAGGAGGAGAACTCCTTGTTTGTTCATGAGATTTTCCCCTAACCTTGAAGAGCCACGCCGAGCAGCAGCACTCACCATTATCACTCTTGGAGAAGAGGGCTGCGTTGATATCTCTGTCTAGCGCGTCGCAGGCACTGCTGTGTGCTTGTTCTGGGAACTTCCCTTTAAAGTCATCCAGACACTCCAGTGCTTCTGCCACGTACTTGAGTTCAAAGAGACAGCGGGCGAGACGGAAATGGGCCTTGAGGTGGCATGGATTCAAGGATATGGCCTTCAGGCAGTCTCTCAAAGCATCATAATGGTCCCCATCCCTGGAGAAAAGGGAGGGGTGGATTAGATAGTCTGGGTAGCAACAGCACACTTTCTCCACCGCCATTTCCCAGCCCTTGTCTCTCTCCAAAGCTTGTTGTTTCCAGCACTCTCTATGCAAGCAGACACACCACAAGCTCACGTATTAATAGCATTTGCTGTGTCCCAGGGGCACCATCTGACCAAGGCCAGCTTCTCGAATGCATCTCCACATGTACACAGGCAGCCCTGTTAACGTGACCACGCGGGGAAGCCCAGCAAGTCTTGACCTGCCATTTTAAATCCGACAGAGCAGAGCTCACTGATACAACACATTTAGGGAAGTCCTTTGAAGATGGAGGATGCACAAGCCCTCTGGCCAAGCAGAGGCAAGGCCTCTCCTGCAAGGCGAGCGGGGCCTCCTCGGAGCACGGCAGCTCACGCGTGCCCCTTTGTGGACGCGCGGGGTGGCAGCATGTTTCCTTGCCCACAGCCAAAGCCACTTGGAGTCCTCAGGAAGGAGCTGAAGAACCTCCACGCTTTACAGTCCTGCTGGAGTACGTACCTACAGCAGCAGCCTTTTCCCACCTTTACAGGAAAAACTTGATCATTTAGATATAAGCAGTAAAGCAGATTGGTACTGCAACAGGTATTATATCCTACGTACAGGTACCAGAGACTACACTTGATTTCCCTAAATGCCACGGCAGTGGGGGTAAAAGTGTTTTTGTTTGTGCCCTGGAAGGAGAAGAGACACGACAAACCTCTCACACCCATGTCTGATTCAGACTGATAGAGGCTGAGAAGTCAGCCTGGGCTAACCGGCAGGTGCTTGTAGCAGCATTGAGCCTAAACTGATCAAAGCCACCACAACCTTTCCTTAAAGAGGGCCAGGTCTCCCCGTGATGGCTAATAAAACTAATTAGCTTCACACCTGAACCCCACACACACCGCCTGAACAGTCCCAGGGAGCAGGGGGTGAATTGTCCTGTACCTCCCACGGGGTGAGGATTCGGATCACGTGGAGCCTTTGTTAAGCAAGAGGTGCTCCTGTATCTGATCATCAACAGGAGCTCCAAATGGCTGGGTTAACACAGCGAGCAGTGCTTATTCAGTGCCACGAGCACGTTCTGCAAGCCATTCATCCCACTGCTCTCTCCCCTCTCTAGGTAGATGTTGGCCACAAACTGCAGCTCGCCGGTACAGAACGTGAAGTGCTTTGTCCATAACATCTGCAGCAGAGCAGGAGAAACATGGATCTTGAGGCCTGCATCTACCTTTGCAGCACCGTGTCCGTGTTAAACCAGCATCTCACCACCTTCACTCTAATGAGGAGGTAACACAACTTACTTGGTATGATGACAAGACATTTTCAGAGCCGGACAGGCTACAAACTGCTCTGCCGCCCTCCAAAACCCTTCAACCCCAACTACCAGGGACAGACAGCCCAAGAGACTGGCGTGAAAACGTACGTGTTGAGATGTAAAACAGGCCCTGACTTCTCCTGTTGTTACAGGCTTGACTCAGCTTGTGAAAAAGTGCTCTAACTAGGAATCAGCTCAAGTACTGTCAACGCAGACAGTTAAAAGCCATCAGGAGCGATGCAGTTGGCTCTTAGGAGCAAGTTTTAGAAGGACAGTCTTTGAAGTGCTGCAGAATACGAGCAGCATCTTAAGGGAGGTGAGCAAGGGGAGGTTAGGAAGTTAGAGCTTCCTTTTTCTGGATCTCCCTGCTGCTCAGGAGGTGAAAGCAAGACCTGCAGTGTTCTGCAGGGTGCCTGGTTGCTGTTCCTGCCCCAAACGTGAAGGACACCTTAGAGGCACGCTGCGGTTCAGTGTGTTCAACTGCTTCACCCTCCTCCTCAGCGACATCCCAGCCTTCCTCTGTCATTTACCAACAGCTGTTCCTAGCAGAAAAACACATCTCTGCACCTGAGAAGGTATGAGCTCAGCACCATTTACATTCTAATCACTGCACACCACAGAAAGCCATCGCATATATTTTCACATCTTCCTGCTACTGAAAGCTGCAGCGAGCACTAGCTGACACGCAGAAAGGTTCAGATCTGCCAACATCCTCCGGGAAAAATGATGCCTATAAGAAAAATGTCATTCACTGAGATCAGCACTCAGCTTCCGTCTTCCATTCCTTAATCCCAACCTATTGTTCTTCTCCCTCTGAACGCCGAGGTCTTTTTGAGGCAGCTCCCAAATCTCTGCTATTGCAAAACAGCCAGTAGGCCAGTTACCAACAGTCACAACAACTGCTGGCTGCTCTTTATCTTGGCAAGATGATGGGAGAATTCATTCTGGGGATTTCAGCAGGGAGAGAAGGAGGATATCCTCACAAAGCAAATGTAGATGAAGGGCCGCAGCTATTTTAAATATGTTAATAGCAAGCCATGCTACTGAGTCTTACTCTGCTCAAGGGGACAGATACCAAAATAACCCAGCTGTGTCTTGCAGATGCAGCCCTGGCTGTTGGTCAGAGAGGACACTACCTACTGCAGAGGCTAAGAGTATATTTTGCAATAAAGAAGACAGAACCTCCCCCAGACTCTGAGGCACCAGTTGCCACCTCACCAAATCCCTCAGAGAGCTGAGCTTCCAGTTGAGGGGAATGTGGGCTAGCTGGGCTAACACAGGACCAGGCCACATTTGACTATCTCCAATACCAGCCTCTTGGATCAGGCAGCAACCAGAGCAGCTCCAGGCAGACTCACAACAATCTTACATCAGGACACGTGAAATTACACAGCACGGGAACCCATCACCTCATCTGCTGACAGCAAATGTAGAGACATCATCTAACGCAGATCAGAACAATCCAGAGACACACAAACACCTTTGGAGGTGCTCATAATGTCGTTACTCACAAGTGGATTTCTGGTTTCCTTTTAAACAGGAAAGGAACAGAACATGACTCAGCATACCAGTGGGCAAACCCACAAAGCTGCTACCAGGTGTGCTTGCCTGCACAACGGCTGTGGCCACGAGTTCTCCAACACACGCTGCTGTGCACCCCTTGTTCTGTGCCAGGGGTGCCCCAGAGCTCTGCTTACTTACCACTTGCGCTTCATGTAGGCAGCAGCTCTGTTTCCATACAGCATGGCATTGTTGGGGGCTTTCTGTACTGCTTTGCTGTACAGCTGGATGGCTTGAGTCCACAGCTGGCAAGCAAAAGCCTCGTTGGCTTGCTGCTTGATTCTCTCCAGATACGGAGGCAACTCTACCTGGGGACTGCAGGGAAAGAAGGAAAGAAGCACAGCTAAATGTCTCACTTGCTAACACTCCCATTGTTAAAGTTAACTGTTAACCCAGTTAAATACCTGCAGTGTTTTGTTCTAACTTAACAGGTCCCAGCAAGTATTAGCTAATACCAGAAGTTTCAAAGGTCCTGAACCCGAGTAACCTGAATTTAGGAAGAGGGAGTTTCTTTTTGACCATCATTTGATTGTTTCCATCTTTTCTTTATATATAGATGCACTCAAAATTCAACAGTGTTTTTTTTAAAGTCTCGTTCCTCAGACTTCACCAATATATCTGTGCTTTGACTGCATAAAAAAAAAAATCCAGACTTCCTTTAGCAGCATCTAATGGGTTGCAAATTCAGAAGGAAACCAAGTGTCTAAGTTCACAGGGCTGCACACAAGGCCCATGCTCAGCAAACCAAAATGAGCATCTCCGGTGCTGTGGTGGAGGGGCCATCTAGAGGAAACGAGCTGAAAGCATTCAGCAGTGGCTGGAGGAACCTAGACTACCCTTATATGGTATTAAGCAACTGTGTCTTGACTTTTAACCACATCTCATCAGCTGGAGGAAAACCAGTCTGCAAGATGTGCTAGAAGTCTGCTTCTGCTTCACCCCAACTGCTCTTTGTTCGTAAGGAAAAAAGGCAGCAGGGACAGTAAAAGAGGGCTCTCCATCAACCCCCAGCTCATATGCAAGGGTAATGACAGCAGTGTCATCGTTGTAAAGCAATTTTGGCAGCTTCAGTTCAGCTTGCAGCAGGCAGGTGCCTAAAAAACGGCCAAGGGAAGAAAGGCTCTTTCAACCCGACAGCCACTCCCATCTGTCAGATCACAGCCCCGGCAAGGTCAGGAAGTAAAAACCATGCAGGACAACTAAGAACACTTCGCTTCCAGGACTGAAAAGTCATTTCTTAGTTTTCTCTGCAGTAAATCATTGTAAGAGGGGAAAAATCCTAATGGAATATGCTTCTCCTAAGATGCTGTTGCCTGATTCGACTCAGGCTCATAGCCCACACACCAGAAACAAATACAACCCCTAGGACAGAGACCACTCAACAATCAAATCAACATGCCAAGTGGGTTTGCACTCCACACCTCGTTTAGCAGCACCTAACCCTGAGGAGAGGAAGAGGGCCTGAACAAAGCCATCGGCCCCTCACTGAGGCAGATCTATCACCTTACCTCACGTGTGCTCTTCCTTCTGACAAGCGGAAGCCATTGCTGTGCAGATGGATGCCGTTGGACACTCCATTGGTAGAAGTTTTTCCATTCTGCACTTCTGAAGGTTAGAAAAAAATATATAATCATGCAATGGCTCAATGTAGATTACACAAACTAATCCCTGAAATATCAGGGTTACATTTTACAGCATAACAAAGCCAATGCCACAGCCCCATTCAGAGCACAATGAAGCAGAATTCCACAATGCCACACGCTCCCATCTTCCAGCCACCTCAACTTGATTTGCCTTCAGAGAATCCTTTATGTTAGAAAGACCTTCAAAATCATCAGGCCCAACTGTCCTGACATTGACCTGACATCACGTCCCATCACTAAACCACATCCCTTAGTGCCATGTCCCCAGGTCTCTTAAATAAATGCCTCCAGGGATTTATTTAAGCCACCACTTCCCTGGCAGCCCACTCCAATGCTTTACCAATCTCTCCATGAAGAAATTCTTCCTAATATCCAATCTAAACCTTAAACATAGCAACTTCTTTCTAAATGCCTTTGTATTTTTCAGATGCACTGAGAAAAAAAAAAAACACAGGCCCAAGTTGTTTAACAGTTTTATAGAACAAGGAAGATGAGTGGAACCACTGGAGATATCTAGTAAGGGAATTCCAGATGCTTTTTTCCTTTTTTTCTTTTCTTTTCTTACCCTATTGCTCAAGGAGCAGTTACAAGCTGAAGCAATCCTCTGAAGGTCGTGCAGCCTGATCACTTGCCATTCTTATAGAAAAATATTCAAATTCAAGTTTTATAAACTGCATTTATGTTGTAGCTGGGAATACTCCCGCAGCCATTTCAGAGGCTGGGAAACTGGGGACTCTTTCCAAGCACTCTACTGAACAGCTCGGAGCTTTCAGTGCGCAGAGACATGCATGCACACGAAGTTCAGCCTTTGTACAGATGCTGCTTTTTTCACAGCCCTTGCCTGAACTTTCTGTACCCAGAAGGGCGGAGCGTTTGCTGAAACTGCACCACGGTGAACCTGTTCAAACCCTGCTCTGCCATTTAAAGCATGACCTCACCAGATACCACAGCACAGATCACCCACATGCAGCCAAGGCAGAAGAGAACGGCAGGCAGGGCATCTACTCGCTACCAGGATGTGAGTGTTAGATTAAGGCCCAAGGCACGCTAAGTACACAGGTTGAACTCTGCCAGAGTGCTCCGAGCACAGGGCTGAGCAGGGAACACTCCCTGATAAGAAAGAGCCAGCCTCTGCCCGGGGACAGCGAGCTGGACGTTCACTGCACGCTGCCTGCAGTATCTGCGTACGAACAGGCCCTGTAAGAAACAGGGCCAGGAATAAAAAAGCTCTTGGATTGACTTACTTGTCGAGTAAATGAGTTTTTGAATCAACTATCTCACCACCAGGAAGGAGATTAGTGCCAGGCCAGACTCTCAGACCGGGGAAGAGATTGTTCTGTCTCCTTCTAATGGGCGTTTGAAGGGGTAACGGCTGCACAGTTTGTAAGTTTATAAACGTAAAAGCAGCACACCATTGCCATGTTTGTCCACATACAAAGTATTTCCTCCTTAGTTAAAGGCAGGGTGGTAGGACCTCAATCACTCTACAAAGTCTACTTTATCTTGAGGAGAATGCTTCAAGCTATACCTAAGTTGACACACGCACACACCCCTCGACAGCTCATTTCTTCCCTCAAGACACATTTTGTCGCTATGCGTAAGGGTTTTAGAGCTCAGGGTATGAACTGCACTGCAGAAATTGCCCAGCAACAGCCATGTCATAATTCCTTTCCCTCATTCCTGCCCAGATGGGGCTGCGCCCTGGAAAGAGTTGCATTGTACATGATTTCCCTCTGCCTTGCACTCACTTCCATGACAGCATCACACTTACCCCCTGACGTGTGGCATTTCTTTGGGAGGAGGAAAGTGTATGGCCGCTGCTTGTAAGTTAGATCAAACAAATAGACCTGAGAGATGAAGAGAGTGAAGACAAAAAAAAAAATCGTCAGTGATACATAGAGGCTTAAGGGACAGAAATAAAACAAGGCTAGATGTTTCCATGCTTGTTTTACTACTTCCAGTTTTTAACCTTGTTTATAGACATGTTCGCACTGAATAACAGCAGTACCAGTGTCTTGTTGCGTGCCAGCACTGGATTCAGAAAAGAACAGCACTGAGAAACAGGAGCCTTGCTTTACTCAAGAGGTACAAACCAACCTGTTCAAAAAGCTCCTGACTCCAAGAAGATATTTTAGCCATTTAATTAATACAGTGATCATAAACAAATTGAAAGCTTAGTGGTAGAAAAGCAGTACACTAAACCAAGGTGTCTCTAAGGCTGAAGCAAAGATTTCATGAGAAACTTCAAACACAGCCCTGTGAAACCCTAATTTAAACTTGTACCAGTATAGGAATTGACAGCCCTTATCCATTCGTGTAATTCAGTACCTCCTCTTAAAGAGAAGTCCGAGTGTGAGAAAGATCTCTAGAGGACAACCAGAGTAACCTGCTCACAAGGGAAGTTCCTACTTAATCCACGCTGATTAATACTGTCAGGAGGATTTTCTCATTTCACTGATAAGCTTTACAAAAGAGCCACAAATATCACCCAGTGCTTAAAATTAAAGCAATCAATATCGCAGGTGAAGTCCTTTGCTTCTCTAAGTTCCTTACGTACTAGATTGTATTACAGAAGCAGTTTGATGTTTCAGGAATGAGTTAAGAATTTTTTTTTCTACATCAGGAAAGGTCAGTACCAGAACTTTTCTTTCTCTTTCAAGAGAAGGAAAAGTGAATTGCAAAACCAGATCAAAATACCACATAAATTTAATCACTGGTAGCATAACAAATAAATCCCTAGTACCAGGGGTTCAGTCCAAATGCATCAGAGAACAGTTTAAAAGTCAGTGATGTTACCCCACACAGGAGTTACTACATCCGTTTTGAAGACAACCTATGGTGGCCCGACAAACACAGCCAAAATGTTAAACTTTCTACCAAACTTTGTCTTCTTACCTGCTCCCCTCCCATGTTGACCAAGAGCTCAGTGCCATCAGGACTGAAGGTGACATACGTGGCCACCAGGACTCTCAGCCGGTTGTTGTAGTCTGGAAGCTTCACTGGAAGGTGTCCTGTGGGGGGAAGAGGTCCATAAATATTAGTGTAATAGGAACTGTTGTCTTTGTCCTACATCAGCTCTTCCCTTTTACAAGAGGTTGTTAGGACAGCGAGGGCATGAAGCACATGCACCAAAGCAATTTTCCATTTCCTACTGCTGTCTGTTGAATCCTTCCACCAGCTACCAAAACACTTAGATGTATGGAGCTGCCTTTTCACAAGTTCTAGATGCTATTTTTGCAAGGCCATTTCCATATGCAGACAAGACCAGATTACGACTATCTTGCTAACAACTGCAGGCTGCAGAACCCAGCAAATCACAGTTTTATGGATTCACTAAGGATTTAGCCTCCGTGATTTGTGGCCAACTGCAAACAAATAGCTCCTTTCTCAACTCTCTAATCACGTTTCCTTAATAAAGCTCTTAGCACAATCAAACCATGGCTCCTAAATATTCAGCTCACACAAGGGTTCTTTTGCTTCAGACAGCAGATGTGTTGCATGACCAATTCAGGGGACCTAAGAAATCCTCCAATGGGACTCATCAGAAGCAAGACTGTCAAAACTGGTCTGTTGAACATGCTGGTTTAAGATACTTTAAAAAAAAAAAAAAAGTTTTGGGAAAAAAACAGTAAATGAGCACTGGAGTAGAATGACGTCTAGATTGCCCAGACACTGCATTGCTGACTCTTCATGTGCAGGATGAAGACAAGCCATTTCCCTTCTGTGCCAAGAAGATTTTTAAACAGCATCCTTGCTGGGACCTGTTCCAGAAGAATGTCTAGAGCCCTCAGGTTACCCAGTCCTTGACTTTCCAACGAAGCTGACAGAAAGACATTTACGCTAGACAAGGAGTAAGGCCAGCTCACCAACACACACTGCTGCCAAGTCAGGGAAGGTGGGCAGGTGGCATAAGCAAGAATTCACAGCACAGAAGAGAAATAATCTACAATTTCATGGAACATCCGTGTATTACATAAGCACTTTTCCAAGTAGTGGTTTCTTGTGTGATGGGTTGAACTCAGTTTCTTCAGGCATTAATTTAAAGCCCCATTGGTGACCCCCAGGACACGTCCCAGTACCTGCCACGTAGTACTGTGCTGCACCATCCGGGAGAGGTTTCTGCCGGTCACAGAACGTGTGGACTCCAGCCGAAGGACTCTGCTTCATGCTTTTTCTAGCCAGAAAGAAAAGCAGTTATAATCACAGCATTCAACTGCTGGAAGTCTGCTCTATGCTAACACTTCTTGTTCATACACAAGGGCAAGCCCTCATGCCCGTGCAGCTGTGCAGTCACAGACCTGCCTCCCATCACCCCAGTGTACTTAGATAAAAAGGCTCTGTGGGTGCTAGAAAAGACTGGGTAAAACTGCACAGTGAGGCAGGCGGGTCCCAGATTATCACAACTCCCCCTTCCCCACTCACACGTGCCAAGAAGGCCCAGAAAAGCCAGCTGCTGGTACCTGTGGTTGTGGATCATGCGTATGTCGTAGAGCCGCACAAAGGGCCCACTCGCCCCCACTGCCAAGTAGTTGTTATCCTGGGGGTTGACTGTGAGGCATTTGGCCTCCACCAGCTGCCCACAGTACTCCGTCAGGTCTATCAGGACTTCTGAACGCTTGCTGTTCTCCCGCAGATCATACTGTCTGCAAAGGGAAGGGAGAGTCACCACATCCACCCTGCTCTGCAGCAACCCGTGTTTAATTATCTGGCTTGTATGCGAAGAGCTGACACTACCACTAACAGGCGTGTGTGCCACAGGTTACTGGGAGCAAACCAGTTCAGTAAACACTAGGCCCCAACATCAGGATAATCACTAACACCAGCTCCATAACATGCACAGATCTAGTCAAGCTCCAAATTAGACTCCAGGCCATGACCTAACAAACAGTACACAGTATGAACAGACTCTTGCAGTTGCATCTACTCATTAAGTCCCAACGACTCTGAAGGGAACCTTTGCTCAGTGTTGTTCCTGCCTTCCTACCCTCCATTTGATACAGCTTTTCCCTTCTTGTCCTCCCTTTCCAGCGGAGGAAAGCAGAGGAGCTGGGTGAGTACTTATCAGAAGAATCTGCATTTCAGGAAGAATCTGCATTTCAAGATGAATCCTTTCAGCTTCAGGAAAGGGAGAGATTAGCTTGAGCTCTTTAGTACAGAGAGTCTCTCTCTAGATTTATGCTTAGCACATATCACAATGGATCCTAATCCAATTCATTTTGGGGCAGAACGCGTTCTGTACCTGATTAGCCCATCTTCTGCAGCACTCCAGAAGGTATTAGGCCACATGGGAGCTGTGGCAATCCGCTTAACCCTGTTTGTGTGGTCTCCGAACATGTGGATGGTTTCCTTGACAGTCAAGTCGTGGACGTGCACCTTGGAATCGGCAGCTCCCGTGATGAGGATCCGATCCCCCGAATGCGGCAAGAACTGCGGAAGACAGATTTGACATTCAGACCTGAGAGGTGCTGAGGCTCTTCACAAACACAACACTGAGCTTCCTTGGCAGGTCGCAGAGCAGCTTGTTTTGGGAACGCAGGATGCCCCATGTTACTCCCTATATTCCACATGCACACTCAAGAGTCAGTAATGACAGTAGCACACAAAATGCTCTCACAGTAACACACAAAATGCTCTCTCCATCTCGTATCTTTAACTCCTGATTTGCTACAACCATTTCCTTCGATTCTACAGAGGTAAGGAGCTAAGCCCAGGAGCTGCATAAACTAAGAAGCACAGGTATTAGATGTAATGCAATTTTTCCTAATGTTACAAATACTCAATGATTGGGGTTGAGGGAATGGATTGCTTGCACAAAAACATTTCCCAGCAACATTTCAAGAGCTACTCTCTGGCTGCTTTGGCTGCTGATTTTGTTAGTCATTTAGTCCTTCCACTCAAATACCTTGACAGAAAAGATGTTTGCAGTATGTCCTGTGTGCATAGAAAGGAGTTTCTTGTGGTGCAGAGGATCCCAGACAATGGTATGCTGGTCATCAGAGCCAGAGGCCAACAAGCTAAAAGAAACAGAAGAGAAGTATGCATCATGGACTCTTCTGTTCCAAGCTGTGACCGATTTCTGAGAGTGGTTTGACCACAGATAGCCATTAACCTTATTCAGCTCTAAGAAGCCCCCTTCCTTCCTCCTTTCTCAGCTCTGTTTTCTTGATGCTTTCCATTCAGCCAGTCCAAGGAAGTCAAAGCAGCCAAATATCAACTCCACAGAAAATAAAGCAATTTTTTTTGTTGTTGCTTTAGCATCTTGACCCAGCTCACCACAGACTCAGATGGCACAGCAAAAACAATGGGAATATTGGTCAATCACGAAATGCAGGGCCTCCACTTCCCTCATTAGCCTGGCTGCATTAACTGCTCCCACATCACAGGCGAGCTCAAGCCAAGCCATTCATTCCTGGACTTGAGATGTGCCCAGGCAGTCCCAAGGCAGGACTCATTACGTGATTCACAGACTGCTTTTTAAGTGCAGGGTGTGGCAGCATTGCAAGGTGCCCGTACATCTATCTTCTGTTAAAGCACAAGAATCTGACATCTGCAACCATCAGCTGTTTTAAATTATTTCCTTGGAGCCAGATCTCTCTCAAGTATGTGAAATTTTCACTGGTAAATAATTCTGAAGACTATCAGACAGCAGGCTTTGGATTTTACAAGAGGCATGTCAAGAAATAGAGGCTTTTTCTTCCATCCAGTTATTTTTCTTGGAGATACTCTTTATTCTACTTGGTTAACCGAAATGTTCTCATGATGAGTTTCTCTCTAAAATTGCAGAGGGGGGTGAGTGCTGCTGTGCCTCCCTCCCTAATGTGCACGTCCCCAGCATCAGCATTTAGCATCACAGCGAAGGGGGTAGGGAAATGTCACTTCCTACCAGCTGGGCAAATCCTGAAGATCCATTATAATCCATAATGCCACTTAAGAGAAGAGAGCAGCCTTCAGCCTCCACTTCTTAGCCTGACCATCTCCCTTCTGAGCTCACTAAAGGGGCATTTCTAATAATATCCAGACATATCCAACAAAATAAAGCTTTTTCGAAGCGCGAGCTCTCCAAGTTCACAACTTTGAGCTTGAGCCCTCATCCATTTTATTAGGAATTTATTTATGGGAAGTAGCTCCTTACGATAAGGTGACCTACATGCTACTCTTGGGAGAACCTGGGTTATCACTCTGCTGATCCCCCGAATCAAGTCGCATACTTACTCTCCTTTTTCATTCCATTCTAGGCAGTTGACACACCCAGAATGACCCTGAGCAAAAAAAAAAAGGGGAAGAGAGTATTACACAAACTTCAGGCTTATCAAACAGAGCTGTTCTAAGACAAGGACGCAGCGAGCTCCCCACACATAACAACTTGTTCTAAAACAAGCAGCTTTTTATTCTGCAAAAGAACACCCACATGGCAGATAAACACCTCCAGAAAAGACAGACATGCTATAAGCAGCTGGGGTAGAAAAGACAAAGTGAAACAAATAATAAAAAAAAACCATGTAGTGTTGAATAAAATGGCAGTTCAGCCTCAGAGGCTACTGATGAAATCCTGCTGTACACACGGAAAGGTGACTTTGCTTCAAAAGCCCTTGGCTAGGCTGACAAATTACATGTGCAGGTTCTCTGGGATTGCAGGGAAAATGCAGTTCTGATAACTCTTTTGGAAGCACCTTGCTGCTCGGTGTCTGTACCATACATCCTCCACCAAATTAGCTAACAACTGCAACGGGGAAGACTAGGAGAGCACTGAGCAGCAGTTGAGAGGTGGCTGGAAAGGGAGACAGAAGAATCCTTTCCTCCCCCGAATCAAGACAATCTTAATGTGTTTTTTTTAGGTTGTGTCAGACTGCAGTACAACAGCCCATTCTTTAGACAACACGTTACACTTCGGCTTTACAGCTGAATACCTGGAAGAGTTGACAGCTGCCTCCTTCAGACAGCACTGTTAGGGTCAGTTGATGCACACCCAAAGGCTCCAGCAGACAGTTTAGGGGGCTTAATAACCAGCATCTCTCTCCCATATAAGAGAGAACTCCATACACTCCAGCCTGCTGTACTTTCCACATCCAGCTGTACAACCAGTGGCTGTGTTTGCTGTTTGAGCACTGCCCACTCACCTGCAGTTCTGCTTCCAGGCCCAGGCGTCGAATGAACGGGTCGGTGACATGATAGTGTCGCTCAAAGCCCAGGGCGCCCCTCTCCTGCATGAAGCAAAGAAATGTCACACTGACTACAGCAAACAAAACGCTCCTTGTTCCCTTTAAGAGAAGATTCATGAGCCATAAAAATCAAGCAGGGACCTTGCCAGATATTGGGGTGTCCATAGCATCAGGGACACGTCCTGGAGAAGGAGGACATCACTCACTGGCATCTCCAGCTGCTTACACAGTTTGCAGTCCTTGTCCTGGACTGCTCTGAAATATTTCTGCCTAATTGATGGGCTCCAGCTGGGCAGCTAAGGCAAGGTTTGAGGAAGCCAACACCAAGACCAAGTTGACTGCTTTGTGCCAGAAATGAGAGATACGAAAGAGCTCGAGTCCACCCGCCTCAAACCCTTGGCAAGGATTTCAGAAACAACTGACTCCTCAGACTGCAGAATCTCTCCTGAAGCACCAAAGATGACTTTGAAACTTGAGTCAAGGCGCTTGTAATCTCAGCATTCCCAGGTCATCCTCACCGTTCCCTGCATCTACCTAGCACCGCTGGGAAATATAATGGGGAACACAACTGGACAGCATCCCCTAGAGATGGCTTATTTCATCAGAAAGGGAGCAGGAGCGCGTGGCTGCAGCACCACAGCACAGCCTGTTCTACAGGGAAGGGAACAGCTGCCACAGAACTGCGTCAGTACAAATGAAGGTGAAGAAAAGCAGGACAGTTGTTTCCCCTGTGATCTCACAGAGTTCACAGATGCATCAGCAGATGGCTTCGATGAAAGAAGGCCAACTGCAGAGGCAGGCATGAAGGAAAGGGAAGGCAAGTTGTATTTTGAATGGAACATCAAATGTCCGAGGAGATCCCTTCCCAGCACCTGACCCAGCCCCAGCCCTGTCCCGTGATGTACCACGGTCAGGTGAAGACAGCTTAAGCCTCAGTCATCGCTATTTACAGAGAACACTGATGTCAAAAGCTGTCACGGTGCTAGGAACGCACCAGGAGTCACAGAACAGCCCCAAAATACAAGCACAGTGTGTGGCCACTGCAGACCAATAGTGAACTGTGAACTCCATGTGCTAGCAGATATTTGAGAACAAAATGGAGCCAGGTATAAGGAGATTGGAGGGGGGAAAGAAAAACAAAACCAAAACCCCCCAGGCTATTATAGAAACTTCCATTACAAACTTCAAACCTCTTGACTTATCTCCACGGATCGTGTTCCCAGAACACTCCCAGGTCCAGCACAAGGTGCTGCAGTTATAATTTCTTGCTCCTGCAGCCTCAGGAGCTTTGTGAGGTCAGTGCAGCAGGATATTGCTTCTCCTGCAAGGAACTGTCAGACTTAGCAACCTTCCCAAGGTCACGGATGAAAGCCTAACAGAACAGACAGCGCGAAAAAGTCCCAGGCTAGCGCTCCAACCACAGCCCCAGCCCTTCCTTGTTAGGGCAGCAAAATAAATCTTTGCACATGGATTAAATTACAAGCTTACACAAGGTTCGGTACCAAACTGCACGGGGAACTGTGGCATCCCAGCTCCTAGTTCCTTATTCGGGCCCCTAACAGGCCACTTCTGTGAGTTCTGATTACCAACAAAGCTGCAAACGATTTAAGGCCTCCCAGTCCAAGCAGTAATTGTCTATTGTGTCTGCTGCAGCTAGTCCTTTCACGTTAAGAGATATTTCACTAAGGCAGCCATCAGATGACTGATCTGACCACAGAAGTTTCTCCCTACACAAAGGAAGCAAACACATCACTCTTTAAAGAAAAAAGAGACGGCAAAAAAAAGACAGAGACACAGAGAGAGATCATTAGCCTCACTACAGTCAGAAAATACCTTTGATGGCAAGATCACACAAAAAGAACACAAAGAAGTCGGCAAAAAAAACTCGTGGGGGAAGCTAGCTAAGGGTCCTTTATGTTGCCCAAACACAAGCAGTCAGATTTCTCTCTTCAGCCGTGTACTGTAAAGGAACAGACCTGCCAACATGGAACCAGTCTGGTGTGTTCCTGCTAGGGAGAAGGATTGTGTTGTTATGCCGTGCTTCGCCCCAGCTCCTCATTAAGGACAACGCTGGGTCCTGTGCGTTTGTTCTCTTCAGCTCCTTATGCAGCTGATCTACATGCAGGTGGCAGGGATCTCTTCAGAAGCACAGGCAACACCACGAGTACTTCCCAGCCCCGCGTGAATGCTGCTTCTCCAGCAGCTCCCTGCTCAACACGAGCGGACGTTTGGCTGACACGTACCTTGATCTGCCTGTGGATGATGTCTCTGGTAATGTTTGCTTTTGCCATCTTCTTGCAAGAAGCTATCGGAAGAGCCGCTGTGCATCCAAGCATGCCAACAGAGCCAAGATCCACACCAAGGGCATTTAATTACCTGCGGAACACGAGAGGGAGCAAACAGAGACAGGCAAACACGTTAGGACGTTCATACAAACGGGGAAGGACGACCAACCCCAAATAGCAGTGGTCAGGGACTGAAGGATTCTATACGAAGGCTCCTTGCAGAAACTCAAGGATGGGCAGGAGCAACCCAGGACTGAAGGACATGCAACCTAGGAGGTCACCCCCAGTTTGGGGACAAGTTCAAGATGAGAGGAACTCCAGGACAACATCAGCCTCAAAAAGCCATGCAAAGAGACCCTGCAAGTCCAGGGTCAGGACGCACCCTGTTCCAGTTTCCACCTTTGTATGTGCAGCCTATTTATGTCCAATTTTGCTTTTCCTATTTCCCAAAACCAACAAGAATTATTACACCGTGAACCTATAAGGCAGTGATATTTTTGGCTACCTCTCCTCTCTTATTTACTATATTTGATTATTTTATTTTTTTTAATTAAAAAGTAAATTTACTGTATTTGGTCATAGCAACTATTATTATAATAAATAATCAATTATGTGTTCCTTAGAAGCCACAACAGCCAGTCCTCAGGTGACACTGTCATCAGAACACCCCGTTACATTAGCAATAAGAAGGGGTGCCCTTTTCTAGTTGTGTTTTAGAAGAAATCAGAGATTTCCACATACTTATGGAGCTCCACATTGAATTCACTCCCCTAAATAACTGAAACCCTGTAAGATCAGCTACGCTGCTAGAAAATCTTCCAGCTGCAGGGTTATTGTCACAACCCTGCTCCAGTCAGGCTACCTAGCAGAACACCAGCTCGTCTCTGCGAAATGATGTCATTCACCTCATTTCCATACCACAAGCCTTGTGCCGTCCCATTTTGGTGTTTCTATAGTTCTCTGAAAAAAAAACAACTCGTATTTTAAACACCATTTTGTCCTACATAAGCCGAGAGTTTTAAATTCCCTTTAACGAGCGGTCGCGAGCAGAACAAGCCGAAATATTCCAACGAGTCCTCCTGAAGGAGGAAATGCTGATTCACCCAAACGAGGACGTTTCACAGAAACGCAGCACCCAACAGCTCCGCTGAGTTCAGCCTGACAAACACTGCCCCTGCTGGTCCAGCCACCAGTTTGGGTCAAACGAGGGCTTTTTGGTCAATGCCACAGCTGACCCTACAAGTCTCAAGGCTCCTGCACCTCGGCGTGCCCCACTCCAGCTCCACCTGGCTTTGGGCAAAGCATCAGCGTGTGGGCATTTCCCCGTGGTGCCGGTACCAGGAGTCCACCTCTCTTCCCAGCTTGCAGGCTTGCCTCCAAGCGGAGGCTCTGAGCTCCTTCCTAGCTCAGCGACCCTGTAGTGAAGGCAGAAAGGACGTTAAACCTACAGGTGGCAAGGAATGCCATGCAAACTGCAGATCAGTCGTGTAGCGGGCTCCTAGGCAGGATTTAGGGCAGCTGTAGGAGCTCTCAAAACAACACAGAAAGGCAGAGCTGTTTGAGGAGCTCCCTACTGCAGCGAGCAGCCCTTATGGCTGTGCCCGAGCCCTGTTTTGTCCGTGCTGAGGCCAAAACAGATGAAATTCCCTCAACTTTGGGCACAAGGCAGCAGGAGGGGAGGACCTAGCACCGTGTGGCCACTTGCAGCCAGCACATGGGACCGACTCCTCCCCGGTGTGAGCACTGGCAGCCACCTCACCCACACCACGTGTAATTTCCCCAGCAGACACATCCCAGTAAGACCACAGCTTCCACACCCTCAGCTCATCGCAGAGGAAGAAGCTCGACCCGTTCCCCATCCGCTGGGGCAATTGGCTGAGCTCGTGCTGCACCCCATCGCCTGCTCAGCTGAAGGACACTGGATCAGGGCTCCTCGAGAATCCGCTGGCCTGAAACTGTCCTCGATCACCAGATCTGGTGTGCGTGTGCTTCTCCAGCGTGCCATCACGTCGGCACTTCAGCCAACTTTCTTCTGTTGCAGAAGCAGCACCAGGAAAGCCAGGACGCAGGCCCCAGAAGGGACTTTCGTGTTTTAAGCTTCCTAAACTTTATTACCCTCCTGTTAAGCTTGAGTCGTCTCACTCCCAGGCTTAATGGCAAGAGGCAGGGCTGTGAACGCATCTCCTCATCAATATTTCACGCCAGTTCCTGTCGTAGGATGATGAGGCTATCACATTTTGATACCTATCCTCTGCCTTTCCAGGCGAGCTTAGAGCTGGCATCGTTCTGCCTGCTGATGGAGACCAGGTCTGCAAGGGGACAGCAGCAAAGGGCTCTCCCCTCCTTCCCTCCCTCCTGTAGCCAAAAACGAAGCCGCAGCTGAGCACATCCCCATATTTCCACAAACCCACTGGGACACACGAGTGTTTCTTCCACCTGTAGCTACAGCAGGGCAGAGACCTTCATCCCCCCCCAGGCAGGATCCGAATCTCGCATCTCCCTGCTCCAGACCAGCTTGGTTTTCTCTGGATCTCAGGAAGTCTCTCAGGGCTAAAACCAAACCAGAGCACAGCAGGCAGTCCTCTCCCAGCTGACAAACGCCCAGTGCTCTTCTCAAGACCCCTGGAAGTGTTCCTGTCCCATCTCTTACCTCTAGTCGTGGCTGATTTCTGAACAACTCCTTTTTATTCAACCCCAACCTGCCACGACAGCTCAGCCAGTGCCCTGAAGCACACGCCTGGAGGAACGAATGTTGTTGGAAAGGCACAGAGCTGCCACGCTGCACACAGCAGGGAGAAAGAACCCACACCAAGAAGCCGATTCACTTCTCAATAAGTTACTGCAAACCCACTAATAATACCATAAACCTACTCTTTGACTGTACGAACGGGATGTTCAGAAGAAAGTACAAGGAGCAGAGCGATTCTGATGCTCAAGACAGACTCAAATTCCCTTCCTCTCCAACAAAGCCTCTTCTGCCACGAAGCTGTACGCGTCCTGGAGTTCATTTCATGCCCATCTTCTGCAGGAGCACAGGAACACACCGCAGGCTGGTATCTCTGAGTGTTTTTGGGATTGCAGCTGTGCTGTGGAGCTTCCCAGCAGTAACTCGGAGGCGTTCGCAGCAGATCATCCTCCAGCAGGTCCCAGCGAGAGTTCAACATCTTAACTCTAGCTCTTAACAGTTAAAGGTCAACAAAATCACCCATGAAATCAGTCCTTTGCTTGACAAAGTTGGGCGAACAAGGGTTTAAAACAAAATATTTGATGCAAACCTGACTTTAAAGGTCCCAGTGCCAGCATCCGAGGCTGCACACCAGCACGTCGCTGAGTGGCTGCCATACCTGAGATGCCAATGCAAACCTTCCAGTGTTTGACTATTAAAAAAAAAAAGACAGGCTTGGAAAAAAAAAGTCGAATGGGTAAACATGAGCCTAAGGTGTCTCTCTTGCTGACACAGAGGTTTGAGTGAATGCTGTTACACGCTTAAAGGCCTCCCACAACACACACGTGCTTGGCCAAGGGGACTCGTGGAGCTTTTCCTTGCCGTTCTTTGCTGCTCGACAGGTATTCAGCAGTAAGAAACCACCGCTGCCGAGTCTTTGGCAAGCTTAAATGACTGTGGAATCGCAGGCTAGGAATTACGGAGTCCCAAACTCCCATTCCAGGCCAGACTTTTTCCATCAGGCACAGCCGGTCACAGCCCCGGCCCCACACTCACCACAAATACCTCGCTCCTCACCACACCGTTGCGCACGTAGGTCAGCAGCCTGTGATTTAGTTAAAAACTGACCCAGGTATAAAGCACGAAACCCCCTAAGCCTTGTAAGTCTGCTGGAAAGTAACCACAAATAACTGCAGAAGAATAAGCAGGGCCTCTGACCCCTTCCAGTCACCGAGTCCCTTCGGAGAGCCCTGTCCAAACGTCCCCCCAAAGGGGCATCGCTCTTTATAGGGCGTTTTTTGGCAAAACCTCACTGCTGTACAAGTTCTGCTCGCTTTCCAAACATCCTTCCCTAACCATTCGTGCAGTTTCCTGGCTGTTCACTACACCAGCACAACCAGCTCACGGAACGAGAGGATTGCATCCCGCTTACAGAGCAATTTGGGATAAATCCACGCTGTTGGTACCAGCGATGACCACAGAAGCAGCTCCACTTTGCCCACACCTAAGAGACCACCAAGAGCTTTTCTACTCCTTTATTACACGACCACTGCAGCACGTTTCACCGTCAGCCTTCAGGAGCATCTCCACGAGCCCATCCCGGCACCAGCCCCTTCTCAAACCTCATCCCGAAGCCCGGACCCTGTCCCACCTGGGGTTAGCGCTGGTTCACTTCTCCGACCCTCCTGCAGCGCAAAGCTCCGGAGACAAATAAACCCCAAACTTTCGCAATGCTTGGCCTTTAAATCCGCAGTCAAAAATTAACAAGCCACAGCTTTCTGCAGGCTGTGCTCTCAAGACCTGCTAGGGTGCATCGGCGCTGACGGAAACTGAAGGGTTTCCAGGGAGAGAACTCTTCCAAAGAGAGCTTTGGGGAGGGGGCACTTCCAAGATTCGCTGGCTTTTCCCCAGCCGGCTCTCCTAATTTTCCTGAAACACTCACTCAAAGTCTAGGAGCAAAGCACTGACCCCCGTAATGCAAACAACTCCATCCTTTTACTATCAAACGGTCCCAAAGCAGCCGATGTTGGAGGGGTGTTCTTGTGCCTCAATATTTCCCCTCACAGACCAACCCACACACCCCCGCCCCACTCACACACACGGCGAGGCAGCGCCACAGCCGAGCACCCCGCAGAGCTGAGCTCCAAAGTCCAAAGCTCTGGCCTGCTGCCCTCCCAAAAAGCTCCAGCAACGCCGACAGCGGCCCCAAAGCAGCCGGGCCCCGCTCTCAGCTGAGCGACGCTACCCCAAACCCTTCGGATGCGCCCGCGTTTCTCAGTCCCTGAACTCAAGGTCATTGGAAAACAAAAAGCAGCGGCTCACAGCCCGCGAGTCCTAGCGGAGAGGTGATTCATCCCGAGGGGAGATCCCTCTTACCCTCCCCTCCAGCATCTATAAACGCCGTCAGTTATCCAAACCCCACCAGGACCCAACTCAATCCCTCGGCGGGCTTCTTTAGGCTCACACCTCGCTTTCCCTGCCCCCTTTACCTTGACTCTCCAAGAGGCCACGGCTCAAACTCAAAGCTACACGGCCGGATTTCTAACGAACCCAGGGAAACGAGAGGAAGAGAGCTCGTTAGCGAAAAGGCGGCTCTGCTACAGCTGGAGGAGTTGCCAGGAGCAGCAGCAGCAGCAGCTCCCCAGGACAGACGGCCCCAAAGCCGCTTGCACCAGGACAGGCAGGACCCGAACCCATTGCAGGTGGGCAGCAGCAGGGGGGGGGCTTTGAGAAGCCCACCCCGCAGTGCTCCAGGCTCCATCCTGCAGCTGACGTGGTGGGGAGAAGGGGAAGATGCGAGAGCTGCCCGGTGTCTGAGCCACTTGGCCCCAGGAAGGAGTTTAATGGGATCAGGGGGAGCCAAGGCCGGGCCCCTGCACGGGTAAGGGGCTGCCCAGTGGGGTCGGGGAGAGTCCCATGGGAAGGGCTGGGGGGGGAGAGAGGGGTTGGGGGGGGCAGGGGGCAGAAGGGATGGGGGTGGTGGCAGATAGTGGGGTGTCCAGGAGGGATGGGGAATAGGGGCTAGGTGGGGGCTGGGGGGGGATCTGACAGGGAAGGAGGGCATGGGGGGGGGGACTGATAAGGAAGGGGGGTATGGGGGGGGACTGATAGGGGAGGAGGGCATGGGGGGGCACTGAGAGGGGGGGCACTGAGAGGGGAGGGGGCACGGGGGGGGAATTATTGACAAGGGAAGGGGTATGGGGGGGTCACTGAGAGGGAAAGGAGGTATGGGGGGGGTTAACAAACAGGGAAGGAGGTAAAAGGGGGGGATCACTGATAGGAAAGGGGGTGTGTGGGGGGGTCACTAACAGGAAAGGGAGTATAAGGGGGGGTCACTGAGAGGAGAGGGGGTATGGGGGGGGGACTGATAAGGGAGGGGGTATGGGGGGGTCACTGACAGGAAAGGGGGTACAAGGGGGGGCACTGAGAGGGGAGGGGGCACAAGGGGGGGTCACTGACGGGAAAGGGGGCACGGGGGGGTCACTGAGAGGGACAGGGCCGTGGGGGGGAATGCAAAGGGCATGTTAAGGGGGGGGGGAGCTGACAGGGAAGGGGACACGGGGGGGGGGCGTGTCACTGAGGGGGATGGGGGGGGGGGTCCCGTGGTCCCGTTACCTGTCAGGCCTCCCGGCGGCGGGCGCAGCGGGCAGCGGGAGTTGCGCGGCTCCATCCATGCGGGGGGGGCGACACCGGGAGGGGGCGACACTGAGGGGGGGGGCCGGGGGGGGGAACACGGAAACGGGGCCGAGCGCGGAGAAAGGGGGGGGGGGGGGCGAATAGAGAAGCCAAAAGGGCCCCCCCCTTAAAGCGTCAGGGGCCGCGGCCCGGCTACGAGGAGGTCCCTTGGGAGCGGGGAGGGCCCCTCAGGAGCCGCCCCGGCCGTGCCCCCCCGCCCCGTGCCCCGGTGCCCCCCCTCCGCCTGTCCGGGGCTCAGCAGCACCCCCCCGCCGCCACAGCCGCCGCCGCCCGCCCTACGCATGCGCTACGCCAACTGCGCCACCACCCCCCGGGCACCCGCCACGGCTTCAGCCCCGCGCAAACGGCGCAAATCGCTTTCGAGAATACCTTCCCCTGCCCGTCCTGCCGAGGGACGCCGCCCCGTGATTGACAGCTCGCCCCCGAGCCAATGGGAAAAAGGGGAGAGGGCGCTTCGGGAGGGACCGACCAATCGACGAGGAGAGGGGGCGGGACGTATGCCGCGCGAGGGCTGCTGGGAGTTGTAGTCCGCGGAGGGGGGCTAGGCCCTGGGCCTCCCCTCACGCAGTCTCCTCAGGGGGCTCCCGGGGCCTGTGGGGGCCCCCGCGGCGTCCCCCGGCCTCCCCCCGCCGCCGCCCGCCTGCAGGCCGGGAGCCTCCGGGCTGTGCCTCGGTGGGCACGGCGGTAGCAAGGCCAAGGCCTGGGCTCCCCGTCAGCCTCAGAGTGTGTCCCAGTGGCAATCCTCACCCCCAGCCCGACCCCAGTGCCCCTTCCACAAGCAGTTCCCACCCGTGGCGCCTCAGGCTCCCCCAGGCAGCACAAAGTTATTTTTCTTATGAGGAGAAATAACCTTGTGCGAAGAGCCAGGGGGCGGCAGTGTTCACAAAAAACCTTCCCTTCGGCCTTCCAGCTGCCGTGGGACGCCCTGAGGTCCAGCGCCGCTGGACACAGGGGAAGCAGCGCTCCCGACACCAGGAGGCCGTGAAATAAAATATTTCAGGAGTTAAACATTCATCCCTCTGTGACTCACATCCCCAGCTAAACGTCCTGAAGCCTATTAATAAACTTTAATGAATAAACTCTCGTTGAGAACTTCGTTTTACAGCTCCGAGATACACCCGGCTGCTCAACAGAAGGAAATCGCTACTCCCCTGTTCTGTGTTAACACGGCAAAAAGCCTCTTAGCTCAGTTATCTGCAAGATTGAGGACTTGCCCATATACCTCTCGATTTATAAAGGACAGACCAACCGTTAGCTTTAACGATTTGTCTTCATCTCGTAACCCATTAATTTATTTAGCCGTGGTCAAAGTTTTTACAGGAGATAATTAATTGTTGCCTCTGCGTCTGTCCAGGCTCTTTTAATTAAACAAAAAATAATCGGTATCCATCGCTACCATCTGTACAACAGGGTTTTATCTTCTTTTCTCAGATGCTGTCCTCATGGGGATCTGAAGCTCCACGCAAAAATCCGTCAGGCTTCAGATGCCCTTGACATGTAAGTTTTGCTTGCTGACAGCGAGGAAAGTGGGGCACTGGAAGGCTTGATTTTTTTCAGAGCTGGTGATAGACATAACAGTGGCTGAAGTCAAGGAGAGCCTGGGTACTTACTCGCTCTGAATTGCAGATCCGCAGAGTTTAAGGAACTCGCTGTGGTCACAAAGGGAACTGGAGGCATGTTGGGGAATGTAAACACAGGCTTTCTCATCCCAGCACCCGATGTTGTTCCATATAAACACCACCACGGTGAGCGTCCTCATGAAATAGGGTGGCTGGATTTTCAGTCTCAAGAAACAGACAGGGAGGAAGGAATAAAACTGCCTGAGAGTTGGACTTGGCCTGCTTATTACACGAGGGAAAATAATTTAAGTCAGACAGAAGGCATTACTTAATGCTGTCAATAAGTACACGTCTCCTGTCATCAATGTATGCTGCACATATGCATGCAAACACACACAAAAAAAAATAGTGTAAAAAATGTAGAAAATTCATGATAAAGTTAAGTTTTCCACACCGTGACATAGTGAGGCAGTCACAGTGCACATGAACACAGGTTTATAGGTGTAGACCTTGCTCTGTGAGAGAGAAGCAACACTGGTTTGTCTTGCAGACATCAGATATGGAGTGCTGGAGCTGGACCAGATTTTTTTTTCAGGCAGAAATGGTTCCACTAAAGCAGCTGAAATAAAATTTAGTGGCATGCATTCTTTACTTTCCACTTAACTCTGTTGTTTATTGGAGCAGACCAGAAAAAAAGAAAATCATTTGACAGCCTGACCTGCATCCACTTTGCCCAGCCAATTGTGAGTTGGAAGCGGGGATGGGAGAACAGCAGCAAAGTATAAACCAAGAGGTAGTTGTGCCGAGTTCATCTTTTTCAAATAAATACACAGAGGATGAGAAAGAAACAGCTGTGTCCAATATAGAAATAGACTATACATGTATAAAAATACTCTTGTAGCCAGCGTGGACTGCAGCCAGTATGTACAGCAAGGTTTGCATTCCTGGCTTCTTTGAGCAAATCTACAGAAAACAGTTCCCTTCTCTCGTGTGTCTGCCTGGGTTTCCCTCCCTGAGCAACGTAAAAGATGTTTACCTTTTGATGATTAATGTCCTCTGGAAAATATTCAGACGCTCTGGTCAAAGCCTTGCTGCAGATTCAATGTGAGGGTTGAATTCTGCATGACTTGGATGCAAACACAGCTCTGGGCATTTGCTGGGTACTGCATTAGCGTGTGCTGGGTTGTGAAATCGTGTGCTTCTGTGGCCTGGAGGAGCCTGGGTCAGTGCAGGTGCCCAGCTACACGGCTGCTCGAAGGAAAGAGGTGCAAAGTATTTCCAGGGACACACTTGTCTTTCCAAGGAAGACAATTATGAAGTTAAATGCGGAGGAGCTGTATCCACAGTATATGATTTTGCTCTCCAGGATACAATAGGATAAGCTCTGGTGTATTGTAACTTACGCAATTTGCTTGATTGGACATTTTTAAAGCTCCAGGTGCCCATTCACGCAGCAGTTTTGCTGTCCCTTTGCAGGCCAAGCAGCTCAAGCCTCGTTACGCTCCCTCCCAGTGTGAGGGTGGTGCAATTTCCAAGACTCTCAAGCGGGCATCTTGGCTGGGCCGTAAAAAGCTGCAGGTAAAGGGACTCCTCTCATGGCACACGAGCTAGGAATAGCTGAAAAAAAGCACCAAGGCAGCAGCCCGCAGGCCCTGATGGGGATATTTGCCACTATCAGAGCACTGCAGAGACGATTCATTAACTCGGTACGCAGATTTAATTGAATGTCTCCAAGTCTTTGTGTCCCGATCAGGAGGAAGCAGGAATCTCCCCTTTATCAAGAATTTACACCAACTTCAGTCATTTCCAGAGCACCAGCCTGTTCCATAGGTTGAAAGGCCTCTGTCCAGCCAGCGTTATTCAGCCAGGCGAGTGCAAGCACGCTCCCAAAGTAGCAAGAAGTTAATTTGATGCTGCATCCCCCACTGGCAAAGGTACAATGGTGAGATACGAGACGGTTCGTGCCAGCCCACCACGGCTGTTGATTGATCTAGGCGTGAGGAGGTGGACGAATCTGACCCAGTTTTAAGGGAACACTGTTCCGGTTTTAGCTTCTCAGAACTGTTTCTGAAAGAAAACCAGAGCCAGTGTTTGCTCCTGAAGCAGCGTCTAGTCGCCTGCACACTCCCAGCACCAATCCTGCTGCAGCTGAGACACAAATTAGCTGCCATAGTCTAGGATCAGGCTTCTCACCCAGTTATGACTAAGCTCTTTCAAAAGGAGAAACAGTTCAGGATTTCTTGCTTAATTGGTAAAACAGATTAATTTGACTATTGAGAACATCACCAAGCGGAAGAGAGGAATTGACACACCTAGCTGGTTCCTGCTCAGGCTCGTGATTCGCGTTAATTGATGGCTCACGTTTGTCGTTGATCATTTCCACCAGCAACACGGCGTGCTCCCTCTTCCCGCCCAGGTCTGCCAGAGGACGAACGTCGGCGTTTCCTGCAGCTTTCCCCAGGCACCATCACTGCTGGAAGCTGATGCTGTTTTAAAAGAGGAATCGTCGCTGATTGAAACCAGCAAGTCAAACCTTCAAAGCTCTTGGGTTTGAGCTGCCACGTGTCCTTGCCAAGAACCCACGTCCTTTCCCACACCAAGTGCCCCCAAGGATCAGGGGCTGCATCTTTAACAAAAAGCTCCATTTCCCCTGACTTTCAGTCATTAAATCAGTTCAAAACTCGCGCCAGCTTTAATGGCTCCAGTGACGCTCAGGAACAGGCGCGGCAGAGCCAAGAAATCAGGCGTGTGGTGCTGAGCAACCCCCCCACACTACACCCAGGGTTTTATTAGATCCTTATCAGATTTCCTGCTGTCTAGGACGAAGGGCACGGAGCTACCAGCAGGCGCAGATGCGGTTACAGCAGCCCATCGGCCTAGAATAACAGCCAGTACCCACCAGGCCCCTTCTAACCCCACTGGAAGCTTTACAAATCCCACAGCCCCGTTCCCCTCTCCCAACAGCAAACACGGAGGAGGCTGCTCTGCTCTCCCAGTGCTCTGCTGTCCCCAGCCCTGCAGTGTCACCCCCCTGCACCCCTCCAGCAGCCCAGCTTGGGCCCAGGTCCCCTTTCCCTCCCTTCCTTTCGCACCTTGCATTATGGCCCCTTTGCCTCCTGGTGCCCACCTCGCCCCTGTGCGCCCATCCACGCATTTTCACCCCCCTTCCACGTGCTCAGCCTGCCTCCACGCACCTCCCTTTGGTGCTGCACCACCCCGCACCGCACCTACCTCCAAGGCTTCTCCTCCGTGCACCCTTTTCAACCCAACCGCGCCCTGTGCTGCACTCCACCTCGCTTTTAGCACCCCCTCGTTTCCCTGCCCCACCCTTTGCGCTGCACCCCGCTTTGCACCGCACCCCTCGCCCCCACGCACCCCCCTTGCAGCTGCCCCCTGCCCTGCAGTAGTGCCCTCCTGCTCCTCTGCTCCCCCTTTTGGGTTCTAACCCTGCTTTGCAGCTGCCCCCCGCCTTGCCGTGCACCCCTTGCCCCCATGCACACCCCTTACAGTTCCACCCCACTTTGCAAAGCCCCCCCACGCCCCTTCCAGTGCCCCTCTTTCCAACTGCACCCCACTTTGCAGCACGCCCCTCAGCCCTCCAACCCCCTTTTCCAGTTGCAACCCACTCTTGCAGTACTCCCCTTTCCAGTTGCACCGTTTTACAACACACCCCATTGCAATGCACCCCCTTTCCAGTTGCACCCCACTTTCCAGGTGCCCCTTTCCAGTTGCAGTTTCAAAACACCTCCCCCTTTCCAGTGGCACCCCAATTTGCAGTGTCCCCGTCCCACCTTGCAGCCTGTTTCACAGCACACCCCCACTTTGCAGTGCTCCCTTTCCAGTTGCACCCCGTTTCAAAACACCCCCCCCTTTCCTCGCACCCCATATCACAGCACACCCCGCTTTGCAGTGCCCCCTTCCCAGCTGCACCATCCCAAACCACCCCCCCTTTCCAGATTGCACCCCACTTTGCAGCCCCCCCCTTCCCACTCGCACCGTTTCACAGCACTGCACCCCTTCCCAGTTACACCCCATTTCCCAGCACCATTTCCACTCTCCTCCCCACTTCCCCCATTTCCCAGCACCCCCTTTCCGCGTGCACCCCCCTTTTGCAGCACCCCCTTTCCATCTGCGCCCCCCTTTCCATCTGCACCCCCACCCAACACCCCCCTTTCCACCCACCCCCGCTTAAACCCCGCACTCCCCCCCACCCCCTTCTCTTCTCCCACCCCCCTCCCCTTTATTTTTTTTCCCCTTTTTCCCCCTTTTTTTTTCCCGCCCCTCCCCGCCCTGCCCCCGGCCCGGCCCCTCCGCCGTGCCCAGGGCGCTGCATTCCGCAGGCGCTGCGGGACCGCCTCCGCCCCTGCCTCCTCCCCGCGGCCGCCCCGGCCGCTCCGGGGGATGTTCCGCCGTTCCTCCGCCACCCAAGCCCCGGTCCCGGTCCCGGCTTTTCGCAGCCTGCCGCCGGGGCTGCTCCGAGCCCGCAGCACCCGTGGGTCCCGGTCCCCAGCGAGCCCCCGCCGCGCCCTGCGCCCTGCGCCATGGCCGCGCTCCTCCTGCCGTGGGTGCTGCTGGTGTTGCTGGGCTCGCTGCTCCCCGGGCAGGGCTTGCAGGCCAACCCCATGTTGGCTTCCGAGCCTTCCCGGAGACACCCGGCACCGCTACCGGGGGGGGAAGCCGGGGGTATCACGGCCGCGCCGCCGCCGGCCACGGCGCAGGAGATGCACCCGCTGAACAAGCAGGCGGCCAACCACTCGGGTGAGGGGCACCAGAAGCACCGCAAAGCCTTCCCCGTGCTGGACATCGACTACGATCGCATCCGCATCCCCTTCGAGATCTCCCTCTGGATCCTGCTGGCCTGCCTGATGAAGCTGGGTAGGTCGGCGGTGGTGCTGGGTGATGGGGAAGGGTCCCCACCGCGAGCCACCGACCCCGGGGTGAGCGCCCCGCGGTAGCCCCGGGAGGGACCCCCTGGATTCCCAGGGAAGGTGCTGGCAGCATCCCGGGTGCGACCCCCGGAGCATGCAGGGTGCGACCCCCTGGCATGGACGGGGCAGCATCCCCTGGGCAAAGCCCCCTGCACACCCCAGGCAGCCCCCCGGGCACCCCAGGACGGGGGGCGCATCGCTCTCCCCGCAACCTTGTGTCTGCTGCAGGCCCGGCAGCCGGTGCAGCGGGCACCCCAGCCCCCTTGGTGGGGGCAGGCTTGCTTGTCCCGATGCCCAGAGCATCAGCGAAGACGCTCCCCCAAGCACTGACCATCCCCTCTTTGGGCAAGGGGCGTTTTAGGTTTCCCTGACATCATTCGGGAGGCAGGCAGCACCGGGGAGGAAGCGTCGGCTTCGTTGCTTTGTTTCCTTCCCGAACCACAGCCGCCTTTTGTAACCTTGGAGAAATCACTTACAATTTCTCCCCGCTTCGGCCTCCCCTTCCTCCGGGAATCGGGGCTGGGCATCCCAAACCCCCTGCTGCGGCGTGTTTTCCCCCGAGGATCCCTGCAGGAAGGGTGGTGAGCAGCTGGGGGCCGAGGCTGGGAGCAGACCCCGCGGGATGAGGGCTCTGGGAAGGCAGCAGCGTGCCGGGGCGGCCGGCGGGTTTTGGCCAAGTGTTTCCCAAACTTCTGCAGCTGGATCGATAGTGAGCCAACCACCCCACAGCGTGCCGTGGTGCCACCACCTCGCACCCGCTAGCACCCGAGGGCCAGACCTGGGGAGGTCGCGTTGGCCCCGCTCCAGCTGGGGATTTCGAGGGCAGGTGAAATGTGTGCCCGTCCCAGCCCTAGAGTGGGTGATGGGAGGGAGGGAGGGAGGATGTGTGTTGCCTTAATTTTGTTCCTTAATTACCATCAGGGCCGTAGCAGCGCTAGCAGCTCCTTCTGGAGCACTGCAACAGATTGAAATCTGGCTGGAGGTCCTGAGACATCACAGCCGGGGACATTTCCCTCGGGTGCCTGCTTTAAGCCGTGCTCCATCCTGCTCCGGTGGGTCCTAGAGACCCCAGACGTGGCCGGGATTACGGACACTCCCTGCCTAAGTTTTCCCCCAAAGCACCTCACCCCGTTCCCAGCCTGCTGCGAGCGTGCACAGGCCGGTAAATCCCCATTTTCCTAACCCCTCCCGCATGTTTTATTCACGCGGAGGCAAATGAGTGAAAACGTTTCCATGCCAGAGGCTTCCCGGGCGAGCAGAGCGGCGTGGCGAGGCGGAAAGGGGCCGTGTGGGTTTCGGCCCTTCCGGGCTTCCCCCGTGGAGCAAAGTGCTTCAAAAAGTGTGGGTGGCTGAAGGCAGCCTCGCCGCAGGAAACGCGGCCCTGAAACCTCTCCCATGGCTCACCTAGCATCTGCTAAGCGACCTCTGCTAGCTGCTCGGGGCTACTGCACCGCGGGCTCTGCCGCCTGTCTCGGGGAGTAAAAAGAGTGATGAAATCAGGAGGATCTGCGCCGAAACCGGAGGAGAAAGGAGGGGCCAAACACAGCTGGCCCCTCTCCAGCCAGGGCTCTGCTCTCAGCCAAGCTCAGGGCACGATTTGGGAACCTCGGCTCGCTGCCCGAAGCCCCCCGTGGGCAGCGGAGAGCCCGTGGGGCACGGGGACATCCCCACGGGCAGCCAGAGGCTGTTCTGGGAGCCTGCCCTGAAAGTTTGGGTTTGTTTGCCTTGCGTGGAAAGTTATTTCTGGCCGTCAGCTGAGCTCGGTTGGTTCCCAGTAAAAGTATTCCGCAGGGCTGTGCGGTGATGGGGAGTATTTTAGGAGCTGCCTCGTAGCTCTGGCAAGGGTCCCTCGAGGACGGCAGGTGCTCTGCAGGGATGCTGCCGATGCCAAAATCGTACCTTCAGCTACCGACCTAGCAGGGGTTTTGGCAGCAGAGCCGTAACGGGGCTTCGTCCTCCTCCGTGGCCTCTTCCCCAGGGTTTTGAGACTGCGTCAGAGCGAGGGGGACGGCGGGGCTGGCTCGGTGTGCTGTTCCCATGTTGCTGGTAGAGCTGAATATTCAGGCTCCCTCAGCTCCATCCCGTCCTGCATCAGAAGAAGTTACACAGAAGTCAGCACGTCGCCTCTGGGTGTCCCCAGCTGGTGTCCCCAGGGGGTGACCGCACGGCGCAGGCAGTCCAGGGGCTCCGAACCACTTCCAGAGCTCTCCCTTGTGCCAGGAGATGCAGCCAGAGCCTTGTCCTGCTGCTGGGTTTCTCCTGATTGCTCTGGGTAACTCACAGGCAGCCTTTGGGGCTTAGAGGGGGACATCCTGCTTTTTGGGACAGGACACGTCGCTTGTGGCCGCCGCGTGCCTCGCAGGCGTGGGCTGCTTCTGCGTTGCCTCATCCCAGCGCGGAAGGGCACGGCTGCTGCTGCCTGCTGCCTGCTTCCCTTCGTGCTCGAGCAGCGTTTTCAGCCTGGGGGGGGAAAAAAGGGGGGAGGGACAGCCACGATCGGGCTTTTCCAACGCCCCACCGGCTACGTGCAGGCCACATCTGGCGGTGCCCGTGCCAGGAGCGGAGCTGGGTCAGCTCGCGGTGTTGCAAGGAGACTTTGTCTCAGCCTGTTGCGTGTCCCCAGCACGTCAGACCTCCAATCCCTCTGTCCCCGGCCTCCCCGCTGCCTTACTCACCTCCTCCAGGCTGTTTGCGAGGGCTCTGTAAGGGCACCGGGGGGGTTTTCCTTGGCAGGGTGCTGGAGGAGCGGCTGGGGAAGGGCTGGGTGCCGTGCCCAGCACAGGACCTGCTGCACAAACCCCGTGTCCTGAGCCCAGCAGCGGGGGGAATGAACGACCTTTCAGCTCCAGCAGAGGATCAGGAGCATTTGGGTTCAGCTGTAAACATTTTTCCGTTTTGGGGAAAAGGGAAGCAGTGAGTCAGGGCTGGGAACAGCCGCTTGTGGTGAGCGGTCCCCTCGCTGCCTCCTCCAGGCGCTTGCTGGGGCCCGGTGGTCGGAGCCCTGCTGCAAACCAGCTCCTGCCCACCTGCGAGGTTAGCTGCGTCCCCAAAGCCCCTCTCAGGTCCTGCCTTTTGAAACAGAAAAGCACAGCAGTCCTATTTCCCTCCCGGGGTCAGGTTTGGTGCAGGACGGCCGTGTTATTTGTAGGGTCAGCTGCACCGAGTGGCTGTCCTGCATCGGAGAGCTCCCGGGTCCCCACGGTCCTTCATGGAGCAGCCTCACCCCACTGCACCAAGCAGCTCAGGCAGGTACCAGGGTCATGATTTCCTACACGTCTGCTCGAGGGACTGCTGCAGAGGTTACCTACGAGGCAGCGCTCTGTGGCCAAGCTCTCCTGCCCTCCTTTTGCTCGCTGGTGCGTGCGAGATGTTAATTCAGCGCCCGGCGCAGCGGGCTCTGCTCGGAGCCCGTAGCAATCACTGAGTCATTGCTCTGCCTTCTTTCTTCCT